AGCCATCATCATCAAGGCGGAAGAGGCCTGCCCCAGACTGCTCATTCCGAAGCTGCAGAGACAGTTTGAGTGGTGGAGAGACTTCGGTTCACATCTAAAGAGTCTGAGAGGTTCATAGGGTACCTAATAAATTTGCTCATGTCAATTCTCATCTTTATTAAGGAAATAATACACAGTTTGATGGGGAACTCGATCTTCTTTACTGCAATATATTTTATAGTGTTCACCCAGGGCAGTGTCTTCAGGGTTGTACACTTATTTTATGTGAACAAAAAGTAAATACACGTTTTAGATATTTGAGGTTGTGCGCTAAAATATACCCTTGTTAATAATAAGATAGTTAAACTGGTAGGTTCCAAGTACTAGAATATTCTGAAACCACGTTAGAAAACAAAATTAAGAGTAAGCATATTAAGGCTTCTGTAAAAGATTATCATTAGCAAAAACCATTTTAATGGTCTTAAAGATAGACATTTATCATTGTCAAATTCTATTTATGAAGCCCTACATTTAAGACAACTTCAGCCTTTATAAGTTTAAATTTACACTAAAGAACATAACAAAAAAAGAAAACCTTTTCAGTAAAGGCTATTATAGTACAAAAAGTTTGGTAACTTGAGATGCTATTTTGGAATGTGTGCTACCAGTTCAAATGTGCAAGCTCCGACTTAACAAATGTTTAAAATATTTGAGTTTTTAGAACAGTGCCAAAATAAACCTCATCTCTTCTAGAGATGACATATTTAGCTAAGCATGAGCAATATAAATCTTTCAACCATTTCATGTATTTGTTTAAAAGCCTCAGAAACCACGTGTTCATAAAACACATGAACAAAATGCTGAATTCACTGAAACTTAACAGTTGACTTACAAATTAATTTTTAAGGAGGCAAAATTCGCTGGCCTCTAATGTGTAATAAATAAATATATAGATTAGCTGTAAATAAGTTACCAAGAACACAGTATCTGTGAAATATCAGTGTATCATACAAACCATACTAGAGAAGATAAATGTTTGTGTCAGTTATGTCATCATATAATGCCTTATTTATAAAGGCCACTTGAAAATAGAAAATAAGAAATTATTGTAATCTCTAAAATGCTATATACCAATGTGTTTCCATGTAACTCTTTTCAACATTAAAGCTACAAATCTTTAATAATTTAACTTTGTGAAATATATGAATTCTACTAGTAAGTGATCTGGTAAGAAAATTGTTCAGTGTTTGGGCAAGGACCAAACGCAAAGGATCAACTCAATTTCATCAAGAAGTCGGGCTGGAGTGATGACTCTGTGGGCTAACCTGCCTGCTCCCACACTGATGGCCTGAGCTTGATCCCTGGAAAGGAGGTCTGACTCCCGCAAGTCATCCTCTGACCACATGTGTGCTGCCCCCCAATAATTAAAGTATATAAAATATTTATTCCATAAAGTATTTTTTTTACTATTTTAAGTACTTTAAAACATAATGGCTTATTTATAAAAATCAAGTTTAAAATATTACCTATTAATAATGAATCAATAACTTTACTGCTCATATCTTGCTCGTAGCCAATTTCCTTGCTTATAAAAGTAGCAGACATTTTTAAATGTAAGCTATCAATATAATAGTTGGCTGAGACATTTTGCATATATAATTTCACAGACAACTAACTTTCAAGTGTGTGGGGTATTTTGACATTATCTTTACTGAACAATAGTGATGCTACAATTGTTTTATAAGTCTTACTTTTTGTTATCTTGCTCCGTCAAGATATTTTTTGGTTTTTTCAAATATTTGCAGAATGTGTCTTAAAATATACACTACTATTTTATTACACGACACTGTTAAGTTTTTAGCAACAGACCCAATTAGAAATAGTTTTAAACAGTATTTAAAATGTAACTCAGGGTTATAGTCTAGTGAAGGTTGAGGCATAGCATGCTGCTACATAATAGAGAGGTGGTAATAATGTCATGAGACTTATGTGTGCAGTTCACATTAGCTACACAGAAAGAAATGTATATAATCTTTAATTATTAGAGAATTTATACATATGTGTAAAGAGGAAGTTAGAACAATAGTGATAGAGAAGATAAAATCTATTTTTAAAACAGTTTCTAATTGCTGCCCTATTTTTACTTTTTATTTATAGGGGTGTGTGTACTTGTGTGTGTTTTATGTGCATTGCATGAATTTAGATGCTTGTATGGGCCAGAGGTGTCAGAACACCTGGAAGTGGAATTATAAGCAGCTGTGAGCTGCCTGATTTGGGTGCTGTAAACCAAACTACAGTCCTCTACAAGAGCAGTAAGTGTGCTTACCTGATGAGCTATCTTTTTAGCCCCAGAAGTTAAAATCTTTACTATAATTTTATTTTCCTTACAGAAAGGCTTCATTACAGGAAGTGAGTGCTAAGATCTTAGTTCTAGGTCCTATTTAGTCCTTGGCAAGTTCCAAGATGCTATGAGTCTGCTTCCTCACCAGAATGAATGTAACTATAACAATCATAATAATATGAATAACAGTAAAGTTAATACTACAGTCCGCATAATAATTATTATTTGGTTGTTGACTGAGTCAAATGAAAAACGCTGAAATGGTTTTGTAGATCAAGTGTTGCAATTGTCAGCACATCCTTTATTCCTTTCCTCTCAATTACTTGCTGTCTTGTTTCATTTTTAGAAGCAAAGTCTCATGCCACGATAGGAATTAGACCTGGTGATGTTAAAGTAAACTCAAAGAAACACTCTGAGCCGAGTGGAATTCTTCTGAGGTTATACTGGTTTTTAATAAGTGGCAAAATGATTTTCAATGACTGTGGTTATTCTTTCACACAACAATAACAGCTACTTAAAATACTGTTGAACATTTTTAAGTGTAAGATATCAAAACAATAATTGATGGGGACCTTTTGCATATATAATTTTATAGACACATAATTTTCAAGTGTATACTGTATACTGACATTACCTTTACTGAACAATAGTGGATGTCAGAATTGTTTTATGTCTTACTTATCTTGCTCTATAAAACTTGTGAATCTGGGGGACTGGAGAGATGGCTCAGCAGTTAAGACCACTGACTGTTGTTGCAGAAGACATGGGTTTAAATCCCAGCATCCACATGGCAGCTAACAGCCATCTGTAATACCAGTTCCAGGGATCCGACACCCTCTTCTGTCCTCGGCAGGTATTGCATGACGTGGGTACACTTAGACACATGCAGGCGTAACACTCATACACATAAAACACAAATAAATTAAAAACAAACAACAACAAGAAACCTGCTGAATCTGATAATGGGAATTGGTTATTCTAATGTGATTATTCAGGAAGAGATGCATGAAAATCATAAAATGTTTTAATATTGCATTACGTGTTTTAAAACTTCAAAGTGACATAAGAAAAGCTTGTCTGTTCTCCAATACTAAACTGAAAATTCAAATTCACTTGTGATTAGTTTAAGCAGGTTCAAGAATGGCTATTTTGTGACAAGAACTGCTTCTCTTTACTTACCCCACCTCCTGGATGACGTAAAAGGTGCTGTCTTTGCATAGGGAGCTGTTACAAGTTTTAATTAGAGCCAGGGACAGACTTCAAGCTTTGAGCAAAGTACTATAAGTAGTTGCTGGTCTATGAGAGATTCTCGTGCTCTCTATGACTGTAGAGAAAATGCAGCTAGTTTATTTTTTAACTCCTATTGTCATTTCTTTTCTAATTCTCATAGCTTAAAGAAATTATTACATACAGGTGCTATGAGTAATTCCAAATTTGAATTCAATGGGATGGTTCTAATCACTGGAGAAATTTCATTTTACAGATTTAGTTACAAAGAAATAGAGTGCATTGGTATTCTGATTTTTTAAAATCACTTTAATATTTTCATTTTATGTGTATGAGTGTATTGCCTGCATGTATGTGAGTGCACTCATGTCATTCAATGCCCATGGAGAACAGAGGAGGACATCTGATTCCGCTGGAACTGGAGTTACAGTTGTTAGCTGCCATGTGGGTATGGGAACTGAACCTGGGTCCTCTGCAAGAGCAGCCAGTGCTCTTACCTCTGAGCCATCTCTCCAGTCCCAGTGTTCTGATTCATTTTATTTATGACAAAGCACCTTAAAATTTTCTATAGAGTTAAAAAAAATAAATAAAAATGGATACTCTCCAATGGCATATGAAAGAATGGTACAATACAATACTCTATATTTATCACAAAAGAGGCAATGATAATAACTTAGCTCAAGTGTTAAAGATGAATTAAAAATGTAGGGCCATGAATTTTAAAAAATTTGCTTTTATTGAATTTTTGTAAATTTCATACAGAATATCCCAAACAATCTTGATCATCTTTATACCCCTGTCCCCACTGGTACCATCCCATAACACCCCCACTGGAGCCCATATATTCTGCCATCCATGTTAAGGCCACTGTGTTAAGTCAGTGTCCCCAGATGTTCCCCAGTGAGAGTCCCTCCACTGAGGTCTAGTCACCCTATCTGGAGTCCCTTGTTTTAGGAAGATCAGCTCTTCCTCACTCAGCAGCTTTTGTCTATAAACTTTGCACCAACTCAGTCTTTCCCTGTCCATTTCATCCTGTCCAACTACAGTCATTTCTCACTGGCCTTTCGACTGTTCAACCTGTAAAACTGACAATTTTTTTCCATAAATCTTCACATCATATGACAGTGGCTGTTATGGTTTAACTATTTTAAGTAACCTATTAAATAAATTGAAAACCACACTAACTTAACCAAATTGTATTCTTTCTTCTAAATCTTCATATTTGTACACAATATTTTTATTAGATTGAGTGAGATTCCCCTCCTCCACAACAATGATCATAAAATAAAACAATAAGAATACTTAACAGGCTTGATATCTTCTTGCTTTTTAGAGAGACATGCTGGAACATGCTAATTTTGTAGTCAAAAGTATCCCAGACTATGAGACAGAAACTTGGCAATTTCTACAGCTTAAGTAGAGCTTAGATAATTACCTGGACTCAGCATTAAAAAATACTGACAAGATGTATATACAAGCACACATTAATAATCCTTTTCTTGAAAACAGCATATATTATTTATAGTGAAATAAAAATCATGCCTTGATGAATGTTATCTGAATATTAGTATTAAACAAAGCAAATTATACACTTAATTCATGGCATCTATACTTAATATTCTTTACATCAAGAATAAGAAATTCTATACATACAACTAAAGGTAGCTACATACTCTCATGTCTGAATTTCTCCCATCAGTGAAGAAATATGCTCTATATTGAAAATGCATTTATTTGAAGTTTTGACCTAACACAGTGGATTAAGGCTTAGACAATATTTACTTTGCTGCACTTTGATTCAGAAAGGGCCATATGTGGAGATATGATCCTGGTCGACTTCAGGATGCTTCTACAATGTAACACCAGCAAAAAGGTTTACATTAAAGACACTGAACTATAACATAGCTACAAATAAGCTGCAACCTTATAATTGGTAAAAGCCTGTCGTTAATATATTTGGATAAATAACTCAAGTCAGCAGCAAAGTGGTTAAACATTTGTGATTTGATTTTATCTCAGCTCGGAATGTGGTTGGAGTGTCCCACTTCTAACAACTGTTTGCTAAGTTAAGGCTTTTAGTGTTTACACAGTGTTGAATGAAGCAGCCTGGTCACCAGATGTGATTGCTTCCCCCAGACTGGGTTTTGTTCAGTCAGATCACTGTCCTCATGGTCCCTGTTCCAACCTTCTTCCTCAGGACATCCACCAGTCTTTCTAACCTAAGTGGGGGTATGAGGAAGGGGGAAAAATGAAAAGAAAAAGTACAATTATTGTCAGGAACATTTTGCCCGAAAAAGGACAGTACCTGCCCACGACCGAGCCATTCTGGTAGCCATGTTATGAGAAAAAGCATTACTGTGAGAGAGACACACACAGAGAGTGCTAAGAATTTAGGGTTAAACAACAGTAGCAAACTTTAATGCAGATCCTGAATTGTGTCAGAGTTAGATGTTACACAAAGTATACACGATACTCATTTGAATGCATTTATCTACTTGCATTAAAGTTGTAAAAAAATTATTTACTATGCAATGACAAGATGGCACATTAAATGAAGAGAAGCTTCAAGCAGATTTTACTATTTCAGTACAAAAAATACTAACAATCTTGAACTTGTTACTTCACTAATGAATGTGTATTGGTTGATTTACTCTTAACTCTTATGCACTAAATTTCTCTTTTTTTCATAGTCAGCTGCCCAATATAAAAGACGGGAAAATTTCAATGTCCTAGTGGCATGTAAATAATTAAAATAAATACACATGTTTAATAGCAATATAAACAAACTTTCTGTACTATATTTTTTAAAAGTTTGTATTTCAGGCTGAAAATTACATGTATATGCTTTTTAGTCATAGAAAAGTTATATATTTTAGTTGATTTAAAAACCCTGCTAATTAAACTGAAACCAGCCCAGAGCTCAGAAGTGCACTCTGGAGCGCTCTCAGGCTGCTGTGGGGAGAGATCACATTCAGTGGAGCAGTGAGCTTTGCTCAACAAAAGATGATAGAATCAGAAGCAGAACATTACTTGGTGTCCTTTTATTTTCTTTACTAGAAGCATAAAACTTCAATAAAAAGTGTCTCTTGATGCAATACACCAAAAAAGGAAAAAAACCTTCCTTGTGAGTGAGACTCACACAGCAGCTTCAGTTCTCCTTCCAGACTAGCAAGCGGCAGAGTCCTGTTGGCTCCAGTTTGCCTCATTTATATGTATCCGTGCAAGAGTGTCCTTTGCATATAAACAAAGCACAGAGCTAGACACTAAAGACTATTTGAGAGTTTCCATAGGGGATGGATAAATCAGCTGCATATAACTCTGAAAACTAGCTCACATTTATTGGATGACTGCACATAGCAACTGGTAACAGAAAAGAGGACTATTAGACAAAATACCCAGAGCATCAGAATCTTTGCTTTAAGAAAAAGGAGCACTGGGTGCTGGAGAGACGGCTCAGCAGTTCAGAGCACTGGCTGCTCTTGCAGAGGACCCGGGTTCAATTCCCAGTACCCACATGGTGGCAACAACCACTGTAATCTCAGTTCCAGGGGAATTCGATGTCCTCACCTGACCTCTGTGGGCATTGCACGACATGGGTACACTTCCATACAAGCAGGCAATACATTCATAAATATAGGCAATACACTCATACACATAAAAATAAAACGAGTAATGGTCATAGTAAAAAAGTAAATTTTGTCTGTTTATTATTATACATTTCTCAACTGTAAATTATATGTGAATATTATAAGACCCACTAAAACAGCCTAGGGGTACAAATACCTGAACTAGAAAATTCAGGAGAAAATTAACTGTATTCACAGATTAGTCTGTATTAGTTGGACATTGCCCAGTGGTAAAGACTAGGCCTACCTTATAAAATCTGAATATTATGATGATGGGATTTGGTATTTTAAGGCAAAATTTTATTAACTTGAATTGTGGAAGGAGTGAAAATTTTACTATGAATTACAAAAACCACACCAAAAGTTTATTATTAAAATCCAGTTATAACTGAAATTATTATTTTTGATCATGTTGGATACAAATCCAGGGTCTTGGATAGGCTAGGCAGGTGCTACAGCACTGAAGGACACCCTAAGGCCTTGAATTAACTCTTAAAAGTGTTCCCAGTACAAATCTTGGCAAGTCATTAATAACATTTGAGCCATTAATAGTATAAAATGCTGTTTTCCAGGTAATTAAATACATCCCTTTCCCATATCATTTATCCTACTAACTAGTAAAAAAAAGTTTGCTATGAAAATGAATTCTACTTTGTATTGTTATTATTACTATAAAGCTAGACTCAATAGAATACCAAGTTGCTGGCACAAATCTATGCTGAGCTTCTTTTTGGCTTCTCCTTCATAGATAAGTTTGTCTTACCCTTGATTCCTTTTACCCATTAGGACATCTCGCTAAGGAAAGAAGTGAGGAGGAAATACTTAAATATCATGTTTTGCAATTTCTCTACCATATTTGAACAATTAGTAGATCAACCACATTCTCAGTTGATCCAGGTTGAATGATTTATGAAACTTTGATCTCAGAAAAGAGAAAAATACCAATTAAGTTTTGCAAAAATTTACTGACTTCTGGGACACAATGAAGCACCTATTTCTTCCTTTAATAATGGAATACACCTGCCAACAGACGCTGTGCTAACAGGAAGATGGTGTGTGTGTGTGTGTGTGTGTGTGTGTGTGTGTGTGTGTGTGTGTGTGTGTGTGTGTGTGTGTGTGTGTGTGTGTGTGGTAACTTACAGGATTTGTCCACTAAAATCAGCCCCACCTGCTTTGTATTGATCAATGACATACTCACTAGGGCATCATGGGCTAGAAAGGGCTAGAGTGCGGGCTAGGATCGTTTAGATTTGACTCTAAAAGGACTGAATCACATACAAGCAAACCCTTTTATAAGGCTGTGAGGTAAACAGTGACAAACAGGACCCCTTTCCTTGTTTTTTGTTCAGAGATACTTTCATTAAGGTTTAGATTAGCAGAGACCTACAGATCTCAGAGTACAGGGTGATGGCATTATTCTTAGTCATGTCATTATAATTCCCCCCACCAAATTCTTACTTAAGATTAATTGGACAAATATTTACTGGTGTATTTAACTGGTTTTAATAAGAATACATTACAAGAAGGTGAATTCACTCCACTCTATTTAGGAAATAATAAATGACTAAAATCTATTATTTGTTTAAAGGCAATTTGTATACTACTTGAAAACTAAATTCATAACCATTTTTGGTAGAAATCCATTTTTTCAATTAAAATTTAGCATTTCCTTTGTAGTCATAAAATGCACTCACTATAATGGAATCAAGTTTTACATAAAATATAATCTATAAATTATTAACCATTTTTCTAAGTGTTTTATTCCCATTTCCACTCTTTTTTATTGTCTTTTTTGAGACAGGGTCTCTCTACAACCCCAGCTGGTCTGGAACTTGCTATGCAGACCAGGCTAGACTCAATCATGGACCCATAAAGTCTCCTGAGTGCTGGTATTAAAAGTATGTGCCACCACATCTGGTTTCTCTTTTTCACTCAGTGAATGAATCCTGTGATATATTTTGAAAGGTAAGTAACAGTAAATGAGTAATGTTTATATGCCAAGAAGTCTTCAGAAGTCATTTATCCACATATTTAATTTTCATTATAAATTTAGGAAGAAGATGCTATCATTTGATAAAAGAAACGAAGCCTACTGAGGGTAATTTGATCAGAACCATGTATATAGTGGGTTTTGGAACTGGGATGTAATGCCAGACTTAACTACCAAAGTCCCTCATCTCTCCAATGTGCTATACTACTTGAAAAGTACCAAGATTTTTAAAGTACTTCTGAATTTTTTGCAGGGAGGTCTTTTTGAGATAGGGTCTCCCTGTAGTCCCAAGCTGGACTGAAACTCACTATGTAGACCATGCTGGCCTTGAACTCATAGAGATCCACCTGCCTCTGCCTCCTGAATGCTGGAATTAAAAGCGTGTACCACCACACCTGGTTGTGCTTCTGAATTTTTATGGAACTGAATTACTCTTATTAACTGCATAATTTATTGCAAAGTGACAGAAAATAAAGAAGATAGAACAAATTCCTTAAAATTAACTGACTTGCATTAGAAAAAAAGAACTTACCTGTGGGATCCACTTTTTCCTCCCAGTTCTAGGGCCTTGTATAAGCAAGGCCAGTACTCTATCACAGGGATATACTTCTAGCCACTTTTAATTTTGCTCAGATTGCCTTGAACTCATTCACTATCCAATGCTGATCATGAACTTGTAGTCTCCTAAGTAGCTGAGATTACAGTCCTATGACACCAGGCTTGGCTTATGATCCACTTTTGAAAATTATTTATGAATGTGAGAGCATGTGAATTCTTATTGCCTGGATGACATTATTTTCAGGAAAAAATTCTTATTATTTAGGCAATATTTAGCTTTTTGTTTCTCCCCCCACTGGAAAAGAAATCAGGGAAATCATTGAAGAAAAAGAGATAAAGATCATTCCTCCTACAAAGACATTAACATGCTGCACTTAATGGTTGCAATTAGTGTCAAAGATCTTGCTCTTTCAATTATGGCAGGATGAGAAATCGAAATCATCATCATCATCATCATCATCATCATCATCATCATCATCATCATTATTGTTGTTACTATTATTATTTGAGACTGGGTCTTCTGATGCAGCCCTGTCTCGCTAGCCTGGAACCTATATAATGTAGACCAGACTGGCCTCACACTTGAAGGGATCATCCTACCTCTGCCTCCTGAGTGTTGGGGTTACAATGCTGTCACTACTGGCTTGAGATGTGCATTTCTCTTACAACTATGACTGTTTTCTTGTATTGGGCTTTTGTTCTTTTGAGACAGGGTCTCCCTATAGATCCAGCTGGCTGAAACTTGCCATGTAGATCAGGCTGGCCTCAATCTCATAGAGATCCACCTGCCTCTGCCTCCTAAATGCTGGGATTAAAGTCATATGCAGCACACCTGGCTTGTATGACTTTTAAATGGCGATGTAATTTATTACCTTTTCTTTACACCTTTGTGTGTGTGTGTGTGTGTGCTTATGCCTGCATGTGTGTGGTTAGAGGTCAAAAACAGTGTGGTTTTCAATTTTCTCTGCCTTAAAAATTTTGAGATAGGGTTTCTCACTGAATCTGGAGCTCGCTGATTTGTCTAAGATGTAAAGATGGGTGAGAGATTTTCTTAGCTTGTAAAAAGGCCATATGGTTCCTTATACTGATTTAAAAATAGTTAACATGATTAATTTTGTTGTTTTACTATGGTAAAAAAAAATTCAGGCTGGAGAGATGGCTCCACAGTTAAGAACATTGCTTCTCTTGCAGAGGACCTAGGTTTTGTTCCCAGCACTCACATTAGGTGGCTTACAACTGTCATAACTCTAGCTTCAAGGAATCTGATGCCCTCTTCTGGGTTCTGTGGGCACCTGCATGCCATGCTAGGTACATACACACACACACACACACACACACACACACACACACATAAAAAATAAGTAAAAAAAAACAACACAGACTTGAAAGAAGGCCTAGTAGACTGAAAAGATCATAGACTTGAATTAGAGTACAGTAGTGTGGAAGGGAGGAGAAGGGCGGATTTGAAGGATCTTTGGAATCTAGGATCAAAAGTACGTTGTAACTTTTGAGAGTATAACGGAGTAAAGCAGGTTAGACAAGAAGGTTAACTTCAAGTTATCAGGTCTTGGTGATTAACTCAACAATGATGCTCTGAGGAAATGGAGTGGGAAAGCTGCAGATTTCTGCTGAGAACTCTGCTATGTGGATTTAGTTTGGTTTGATATTTACAAATCTTAGGTATTGGTGAACATGTAAGTAGGGATGTTATATAAAGGCTTGCTTCTTGTGGCATTTACTATGTGATGTAACATCATGGCTATGCCTTAATGAAAAACAGTCTGACTTTTAGCATCCATTTTTAAGCTAAGAGCAGATCCACGCTGCTGAGATCCTGTTCCTTCAGAATTATTTCCAAGCTGCACTCCAGAACAATGGTTACTCTTCATTACATTGAAGCAGCACATTCTGCATGAAATGGGGAAGTAAAAGTAGACCTTTATCTGAGGATTATGTCCCTTCTGATCCCTAAACCTAGACCAACACATACACACTACCATAACAGATGCTTTTCATTGAGTCCAGCTATTGTTTGCAATATAAATGGAATGATCTTCATATCTTCATGTTTCCAAGGAATAATCACTGCTCACAATGCTTTTGATATTCATCATATACACATACCCATACATATAAATTCTAGGTCCAGGGCAAGGAAGGGACATGAGGGATTAAGGTCATATGCCCAGATCGCAAGAAAAGAACATGGCTCTGTGAGTTTGTCTACATTAGAAATAAGCTTAAGATAAGATTAACTTTTGCCAGGCGTGGTGGCGCACGCCTTTAGTCCCAGCACTTGGGAGACAGAGGCAGGTGGATCTCTGTGAGTTTAAAGCTAGCCTGGTCTACATAGTGAGTTCCAGGACAACTGGGGCTACAGGGAAACCCTGTCTCAAAAAGACCAAAAAAAAAAAAAAAAAAAAAAAAAAGGTCTTAGACGGTGAGGGCATAACATGATTTGTATGCTAATCCTTGAAAAAAATGATGAGACGATTTTTTCCTTGGAGACTAAAAGAGTTGAGGCAGACACAGCTGTGGATAATTTTGTAGGTGTGGAGGAAGGAAACTGTCAGAAATCATAGCTGCTAGATTCAGTTTTCCCCATGAAGTAGGAGATACAGATTCCGGCTGAAAGCACAGAGGGAAAGGTCTAGAAAAGAACAGCAGGAGTTTAATAGAATGAGAGGGGTGAGGAAATCAGGACTATTTAAGAGACTGTTAGGTGGGATCAATGACTAATCTCTATCTGGTTAGAGACTACAATTTTGTAGAAGATATTGGACATTATACTAGTAAAACTTTTATTCCCCATCAACACTGTATATTAGAAGTAGAAAGGGAACATCATGGAAGTAATTTAGTTTACATGACTTCATGTGGCTTATATGGCAAGTAGGCTTAGGAAGGAATGAGTAGAAGAACTAAGTGGTTAAACCTAGAATCCAGGTTGTGTGGAGAAGAAAGCAGGTCTATAAAGGTTTGTTAGTCTAGGGAAAAAGTGGCGGGGACAATTAACTGGTAAAAAACAAGAGTAGTTGGAATAAGAATGTGATAATCTCCAGAGAAGCACCTTTGATCTTAGGATCTTTAGATATAGAAAAGCTCTGAATGATGACAAGATCCAGAAGAGGCAAAAGAATAAGATGTTTTATCTGTATAATGAAGTTTCTTAACTTAACTGAAGTAGGAGTAGAGAGGAAGACATTATGTCCAGTGCCTCAAATTTATTTTGAGTGCGGAAGGCCAGAAAGTGATACAGCGATATGGCCTCAACCCTGAAGAAGGAAGGGTTTTAACATGGATGCAGAAGAGATGAAAGAGCTAACAGGGAAGCCAGAATAATTCTCCTTTTATGTGTGCAGGTATACAATCCAGAACAACTCTCCTTTTATATGTATGCATGTGGGTGTGCATGTATGTGCTTGTGCATGCATGTGGAGGTGAGGTCAACCATAGGCATTGTTCCTCAGGATACAAACACTGTCTTTCAATGGGACCCAGGGCCTGCTGATTAGACTAGGTTGGCTGGCCACTGACCCCAGGGATCCTCCTGTATCCACCTGCCCAGCACTGGGATTATGAGCATGCATCAAGGTTCCTTCCACTCTTTACACTGGTTCTGAGGCTAGAACTCAGGACCTTATGATTGCACAGCAAGTATTTTCTAGACTAAGCCTTCTCTCCAGCCTCTCTCCTTTTATGGGTTGTGGGAGAAAGACTAGTGGGTAGCTGATAAAGATATCCTGGGGCTTTTGACATTTAGAATCTTGAAGCAGAGGACTGCCACAAGTTTAAGGTCAACCTGAGCTACAGATTGAGACTATCTAAAAAATTACACATATGCACACACACACAAAAAGAAGTATCCTTGGTCAGTTCAAGTTTTAGGTAGAATGTGAGTACAATGCACGCAGTGCAGAAGTTGATACACACAAAGAAGTAACAGTGGAAAGAAGATTCCAGAGGTAAACAGAAAAGAGCCATAGGGATCAGAGGGAAAGGCGAGAGGGATTGGGGATAACGCAGAAGTGAATGGAAGAAGATAAGTAAGTGATAGGCTTCCCCCTGCCCCAGGCAGAAGTTCAACAACCGAAATAAAGAACTTCCGGCTCAGCTTCAGTAAAAACTGAAACATGACTATAGATAATACACTCATATAAAATGCACATAAGCACATATTTATGAAGATTTGGTTAAAGAAAGAACACACATATATGCTCACAAAAGATTACATAATAATGGGATCTCAAATGAGAAAAGAAGTTATGAGATGCAGTTAGATTTCACATTTGAAACAGACTAGAGAAAAACTGTAAGGTGTCTAGTGGGGTCTGCAACTGCACAAAGTGTACTAATATATAATAAATAATAATGCTATTCAGAAGCATCAGTATCTGTTCCATTTAGAGTGCCTAAAGGGATTAACTTGGGCTTTTAAAAATATCAAACACATAAAATCACACAATCCTACAATCAGTGACAGAAGCAGGAGTTTGTGAGCTGTGTTGACACTCGGTCATCTGAGGTTATTCCTTACTAAGGTAGTTATTGTGTCTAGTCTAGCTCACAATACACAGAATTTATTTTATATTAAAGTATAATTTGAATGATTATTGTACCTGATTTTTCAACATTTAAGGTATATTCACTGAAAAACTTCAATAAAAGGACCATAAGGCAATCTTTTTATTTTGTTTTCAGTTTTTTTTTTTTTTTTTTTTTTTTTTTTTTTTTTTTGGTGATAGGGTCTCTTTGTAGCCCCAGCTGGCCTGAAACTTGCTATGTAGACCAGGCTAGCCTGGATTTCTCAGAGCTCTGCCTGCCTCTGCCTTGCACCTCACCATGCCTGGTCCCCATAAAGCACTCCTCTTCAAAATGAAATTTTCCAAAATGTTACATTCTAATAATACTACGCAGCTGTGCAAGAAAACCTTTTTATTGAACAGACTCATTAGTAAATGAATAGTAACTTACAAATGAACTGATTTTGTTGCATAAAATTTTAAGCAAAATATTTTTGTATTCTTTTAACAAGCTACTTCTAATATTAAATTGTGGTTAACCTGTCCATGAACAGGAAAAAACAACTTCCCTTTATCAAAAGAATTACATTTTAAGCTCCACTCTCTGATCTTACAACAATCTCCGATCAATACTCTAAATGGAGTACACATCATTTTCATAACCCCCACTATTCCAACCTAAAGCAATACTTTGGAAATAAAGCTTTCAACATTATTATGGCTCTTAAAAAGATTTGGGGACATGCTTTCCCTATGCTTCATTCCAGATAGTCAGAAAACATTTGGACTAATCATAGGATAGAACTATAAATATGAAGTTTGTTGACATACCATAACTTCCAAATTTCAAGTCCAATTCAACTTACTCCATGTAAAAGAGAGCTGGTGTTACTAGAATAAAAAATAAGGACAATATGATTGTCTTGGCTCCTTAGATTTTTAATTATATAAAATACTGTCATTTATTCATTCAGGAATGTTTAACTTTTATTTTATCTTCCATTTAATTAAGTAATTAGTGTGTATGTACATTTATGAGGACAACTTTGTGGAGTTATTGCTTCTCTCTTTCACCTTTATGTGGTTTCCAGGGATCGAACTCAAGTCATCAGGCTTGGTGGCAAGCACCTTTACCTGCTGAGCCATCTTGCCAGCCATAAGCTCTTATTTTCTAAATGGCCCTTCTAAACTGTTTTTCTACATAGGTTCTTAGGGATGTCTGTTGTATATACATGTCATATGAAGTTGTTTCATCATACAAAATTCTTTGAAAAGATGGGTGATAAAGGAATTCATAGACATAGAAAGTTAAGACATTTTGGCTTCATATTTCATTTCCATGTAGGTCCAAGATTTTCAATATTATGTTTAAGAGATATGCTACATAAGAAAATAGTGAGAAAGTGGAAAAAACTATGTTCAGACCCCACAATTCCACATCATTTTATCTAATATGCTTCATTTAGCTTCACTTTCAGATATACAGTAACACTAAGACATTGCTGCCACCATAAAACCGAACAAAAGACTTGAATTTATCTTTGAGATTAAATACAACACTAAAAACACAGCACATGTATATTCAACAACACTTTAGACTAGATATGCGACATTCATTATTTAAGACCACTAACACCCAAAGTTGACAGAGTACTGAAAAGTTACCATTATTTTATAGATGAAACTAACATTAAGCTAATTATTTTGAGACAGGGTCTCATTATGTAGCCATGGCTGGCCACTACTCACTGTGTAGATCAGTCTGGGCTAAAACACAGAGATCCATTTGCCTCTGCCTCCCAAGTGCTCAAATTAAAGATGTGAGAAACTATACATAGTGAACATTAACTAATTTATTTAAACTTGAATGTAGCGCCTCGGGGCTAGAGAGATGGCTCAGCAGTTAAGAGCACTGACTGTTCTTGTAGAAGACCTGGGTTCGAATCCTAGCATCCACATGGCAGCTAACAACTGTCTGTAACTTTAGTTTCAGGGTATCCAATGCCCTCTTCTGTCCTCTGCAGGCACTGCATGACACAACTGCACTTACATACATGCAGACAATATACTCATACACACGAAATAAAAATAATTTTTAAAATTTATAAAAAGAAAATAGAGCCTCAAATAACTCATAATATAAATTACTATCTATTTAGATGAATAATAAACCTAATATCAGACATATAACAGTAAAACACAATGAAAAATTAAAGATCTACATCCATCATTATAGTATCTCAAGTTTTGGATCTTAAAATAGAAACTTCTTGTGATGTTACCCAGGAGTGACCTAAGAGTTTGTAAGTTAGATGTCTAGATTGCTTACTGGAATCCAGTTAGTCAATGGCAGCAGTAGTACAGTGGAGAATACTGTTAGGAAAGTACTTAACAAAAGATAATTATTTTGCTTAAGGTCCTAACTTAACATCAGAAAGAGCCTGAGACAATAGGATGAATTAAGATCAAATAATATGTTTGAGTTCTTTTACTTTGTCTGCCAGAGTATATCTGAATCAGATTTAAGATTCCCAAGAAAAGTCAGCACCAATAAGTTCACAAAGCCCTTCCAGGGTAGGGGCAATCCTTATTCTGTTAATCATTCCATGCTTATTTGGTATCTGGCAGAAATACAACTCATTAGAATATGGCTTAGGGATACATATTTTATATACACATATATGTGCTGGGACCAAGGAATAATTTTATTTACTTTCTCTAATTCTGAAGTCACAGACTGAAATTTTGACAATGACCCCATAAGAGTTGGTAGACTGGTTTATATGAGGGTTCCTCCATAGATTTCCCCATGTACTTGGACACTTGGTCCCCAGTTTGTGAAGGGTCGGGTAACTTTTGGGAAATTTGGCCATGTTGGAGAAGTATTTCACTAGGAGCAGGCTTTGAGAGTTAAGCCTGCCAGATTTCTTGTCTCTTTCTGCTTGTGCTAGTTGAAGATGTGATCCCTTGGCTTTATGCTCCAGGCACCTCTGGTACCATGCCTCCCCCACCATTATGAAATCTAATGCTCTGGAACCATAAGCTCGAACAAACTCTTCTTTTCGGTCATGGTGTCTTATCACAACACAGAAAAATAACAGAAGCTAACAACAAAATACAGAACTGGGTACCAGGAGTGGAGTGTTGTTGTGAGGAATCTGACCATGTGGCGTTTTGGAGAAATGTGGAAGACTCTGGAAGTTTGGGCTACAAAGGCCCTTGAATGCTGTAAGCAGAGTTTAACAGACCATTCAAATAGGAGCCTGGAAGAAAGTGGTGCTGACAGCAAAGTAATTCTAGAGGGAAAAAAGGACTTAAGTAGAAACTGGGATATTTTGGCAAAGCATCTGGGTAGTCTGCCCCCAGGCTAAGAGCTTGCCTGAGGCTAAGTTAAAAAAAGTAATTGACTAATTTTTTTGGTAGAGGAAATTTCAAGACAGCCTAATGTAGAAATGGTAGTGTGGTTATTAATGGTGAATATTACACAGGTCTATAGTGAAAAAGAGTAAGTGGGGCAGAAAAAATGTAAAATGTACAGGTTGGATTAAAAAAGAGCACTCTAAAGCTTAAAGTTGGAGTGAAGGTGTATACTGAAGGAGGCCCCTTTGATAAAGAGATTAAAGCCTTTATGGAGAGGGCTAGAGAGTTTCACTTAAACAACAGAGAGAATACCTTTAGGGAAAGACCACTCCCAGCTGTGTCTCCAACTTGTGAGAAGAAAAGGCCTAAGAAGTTTTCTCCTAGAAAACTGCAACCCCCCAAAGATGCTGGTGATAGATGAAGCAGACCAGGGTCCCTCCTAGGCTGGCAGCTGAACTTGGCAGTTTTTCACATGGTGTTGGCTTTAGAAGCAAGAAGGATGCAAGAGTGAAGGGATCATTGGTTCTTCCTCTGTGGTTTCAGACAGTCACCAAGGTGAGGCAGTGTACAGTAGGGGCATCCCTGCATAAAGAAGGTCCTGATATCATGAAGCTGTGAAAGGTGAAGCCTGGTTAGCAGTGGAAACCTCAAGAGGCTGGAGATGCTAGAGTTTTAAGACATCTGCCAAGAAGAGCAGCATACAGGGGGTGGTACAAGTGATGTATGCTGCATGCAGCAAAGCTGGAGGGGCTGAGCCATCTAAGCCCTTTGAAAGTAAAGTCCCAGAAGCTGGACATGGAGCTACTGCTGGCTTTTGTCTTGTTTTAGTCCAGTATTTCCTCACTATGCCCCCATTCCTGCCTTTTGGAATGGGAATGTGTATTCTGTTCCATTGTGTGTTGGAAGTATATAATTCATCTTTTGATTTTACAGGGGCTTATTATAGTTAAGAGATTGCCTTTAGGCTCAGAAAAGACTTTGGACTCTGTACTTTTGAATAATAGTGACACTAGAAAAGACTACGAAGACTTTTGAAGGTGGACTAAATGCATTTTGCATTTTATATGGTCATGAGCTTATGGGAGCCAGGAAGTAGAATGTGGTGGTTTGGATGAAAATGTCCCCCACAGGCTCTAAGTATTTGCACACTTGGTTCCTAGTTTATAGCACTGTTTGGGAAGGGTCAAGGACCCTTTAGAAAGTGTGGCCATGATGGAAGAAATGTGTTACTGAGGATAGGCTTAGAGAATTTGCCAGATTTCCTGTCTCTCTCTGCTTCTTATGCCTGCTTGAAGATGTGATTGCTTGGCTTTCTGGTCCGGCTACCTCTGCTGCTACTTCTCCCTCACCATTATGAACTCTAACCATCTGGAAACATATGCTCAAATAAACTCTTCCTTTTATAAGTGATTTAGTCATGGTGTGTCTTATCACAACAGAAAAGTAACTAATACAGTTCACTTCAAATATAAAAGGAAGTCATTATTTGACAGGTATGTTAGCATATACCTGCCTATAATCCTTGCTGTTGGAAATCTGAAGCATGAAGATTCCAAGTTCAAGGACAGCCTACATAGCAAAGTCCTGCATCAGCATCAAACAACCACCAAACAAACAAAAAAGCCAGTTATTCAATATGAAGACTTGTAGTAAATACTTTAATGTTGTCAAGGGCCTTTGAAGAATACCATTAAATGGCAAACATGTTATTCAACAGAACAGAGGTGAAGAAGTCAGATGAAACTTTGCTATGAGAGCTAACTCAAGGCTACCTGGAAAAATTTTGTTGATATGATAAAAATGACTTATGAGATGCTGAAACAGGTATTTTCTTTTTTACTTTATAACTTATTCAGAAAGATAGAGAGAGTGAGGGCAATTGCTACAGAAGGCTTGGAGTAAAAAAACAGGCAAGCATAAGAGAATGTAAAAAGAAAACCGATAATCATTTTATTTCACTTAAAATTCTTTAGATTTCTAAGAAATGAAACAAAGTATGTCAGTGGTACTCTTTCCAAAAAAGGATGCTGAAGGTACTGGAGAGATAGATCAGTGGTTAAGAGCACTGGCTCCTCTTGCAGAGGACCCGGGTTCAGGTCCCAGCCACATGGTGGCTAACAACCATTGCAACTATAGTCCCAGGGATCTGACGTCCTCTCTGGTCTCTGCAGGCATTGCACAACATTGGTATATTTACATTCAGGTTGACAAAACACTCATATACATAAAATAAAAATAAATAAAAAAAGAGACATTGACATGTTCCTATTTTTTCTTTCATTTTTCCTTCTTTGGGCTTTTGAGTTTTGCCCCTATATCCAGCTTTTGTTATAATCCACAAGAACATCTATGTGAAGTTACATCTGAAGGCCAATAGAAAGCTTTTCTGTGTGTGTGTATGCATGTGGTTCATGTGCACATTTGCATGTGTGTTTGTGGTCACCGCCGGCGTTGGCTGCTCCTCTGTTCTCACGGGTGCCGCTCCTTCATTCTCACGGGCGTGGAGGCTGCTTCTCCACTTGCCCTGGGGT